GCGTTCTGAGGGCCTAAAACCAATGCCGACTCAGAGCGCAAACAAACAGCACCTCTTGTCATTTTCTCAGGCTTTACCAAAATTCTGGAACCTACAAGTAGGGGCCTGCAAAGTTCATCAAACTTTGAGGTGTGAGGTTTCCAAACCACCTCTCCTGTATTTTTGCCCATCTGAAAAATGGTAGGGGCAGCCTCAAAATAGAAGCAAATCCGGGCCAGTAGTACATGATCATCATCTACATTCATCTACAAGTTCCTTACCACATGTACAAAAAACTGTCAATTCGGCTTTTCCGCTCGACCGAGCCTTGTGAGCATTTGGAACACCACAGCGGGGTGGTATTGGGAGGGGTTGAACAATTTTTGCAATGCTCGCCTTCCAGGATCAACAAACATCCCCATTCAAAGAGCTTCTTCACAGGGCCACAAAAAGCCTTTCTGGGTGAGTCTTGAAGAGTGGCACATTCTTCATCCCTCCGGGCGTGATGTTGAAAACCCCGAGACAAACAGCAACACCAACAGCAGTCAAGCTGAACAATCTCTAGGGCCCTAGATTTGCTAGATTTGGGGGGATAGATTATGGATGGTTGGGATTCTTTTGCTGGCTGGATGGAACTTAACAGCGGCGGATTGCTGTGCTCGGTGCTGGTGATGCCGATGTTCGGCATCTGCACCGCCGAGCGACTGACAATACATATCCGTTGGCAGCTGGATTTCTCACTATCACTGCGCTGCCGCCCAAAGGTCGACATCTTGGCCACGAGATTTCCCGCCAAAGCCTCTGCGAAGATTGACCAATGCCACAACCAAACAAAAACCACACAAACTGCGTAATTGCGCATACAAACCAGAAAACTCCATGAATCTCTACCACAAACCAAGACCGGAGAACTTCTGACCACACCCCTCATAGTAAACTGGCCCTGGCAACACCACATTGCGCCTGCATCGAGGCAGCTGCTGGAGCCAGATTCATGGGCACGCCAAATATGATAGGCACCGAATAAACACACCGCACGATTAGCCTAGCATTGTCTGGATGGTGGGAGACACAGGTGTTGGAAGTGGGGGTGAAGCATGTTTTAAGAAAATATGTGGCACGATATGGCAACAACTTGCCAGATCCATTCCTACAACAAGCAAGCAGGATATGCATTGTTGATGCGTCCTTTGATCAGCGGATCTGCACGCGAAACAGAAAGTTGCGTTGGCTTTGTGGAGACTCGCAGTGGTCAACATTCCCTACCAGCTGGCCCTACAAGGAAGTGCAACCAAGAAACATCCAACGGTCCTGCAAACGAAAACGCTGAGAACAAAGCCAGCTCCAAAGCTTGCCAGCTTCTGAAATCAAACAATTTGGTTGAAGCATGTTCTGATCCCAGTGAACCCATGTGAATCCACAGGCCCCCTTACTTGCACACGTGGCTTTCAGAAAGCATCGTCCATGTTCGAAAGCAAACCTGCTTTCGAATTGGCTTTCAGAGCGGCTCCTCTGCGGGATAGTTCCGGATGAAGTCTTGTTGGGTTTGGCTGCCGAAGGACAAGTAGCCTGCTATGCGAACCCACGGATCCGTAGGGCGTTCTATCCGTATGTAGGAACAAGCCAGAGGGCCTTTCCACATAGGAGCCTGGATGTTGCCATGGATTGCTGATTTCCCCTTTAAACACAAGGTTCAATCCCCGGCCACCTAGTTCAACTATAGTTCCAAACGAAATCCTGATGGGTCGGATCACATCATATAATACAAACAATGTTGAAGCAATTTGAAGTATATACATGATAAGTCTAACGTGCTGTTTGATAAGTCAAACGGGAACGATTCCCCGTCAAATCACAACTTGTCGCTTGTCCGCTGTGCGGTCGGTAGGGCAGGCAGGGTGGTATCCGCATTGAATTCCAACAGTCAAGGGCTAATACAGCAAAGTCGGAAACATGGCTTTAGACTTTAAACGTTTGCGCCCGCAGTTGCTGTGATTTCTGGTGCCCCTTTGCTGGGCGAAAGCCTTTCTCCAAACAAGGGACCACATGTTGCAATGGTGGCATAGATAACGAGCCTCAGTGGAACTTGAAGCGGAACAGGGAGCTGCGGGGTGATATAATATATATATATATAGGGGGAGAGATAGATAGATATATCTTTATATGTGTGTGCCATATACATCCAATGCCCTTTCCATCCAAAAAGTTGTATAAATCAGTGAACATGATGCTTAAGTGACCCTCAAACACATACAAACATAGAAGCAAAGGATGGTAAAATTCAAGCAGGTTTTTTGATGGCGCAACAAGAGTTGAAGGTAGGGAGATCAACTGCAATCAAACAATGTCCAACTGTAGCTACCACTCCAACTCTAATGCAACGGCCCTCGAAGTCCGTCCACAAAC